ACCAAAAAGTTACCAACTAAAACAACCTAAATGTCAATTTGTGAGACACAGCTTTGACGGGGTCAGGACACAATGTAACCGAACCAACAGCGGTGTCTAATAAGGCGGCGAAGAGTCAGCAGATTGTCAGCCACACAAACAGGCAGACTGGCAACCAGAGGAGGCAGCGCTTCAAAATCTCTGAGTCATTGCCTGGCTTTCTTCAATTGCTACCCCTCTCCTCCACCACTACCACTTCACCTCCTCCTCTGCTGTTTCAGCCATCAGTCTCAGTGGCAGCACACACAGGCAGCAGTTGTACAAAGAGGCTAAGTGGGAGAAACCTTTGCCCATCATAGGATAACAGTGATGGCTCACACAATTCAGGAAGTTTATTAGCCTGTACAGAGTGGCAGGAGCAGAGAGCTTTGAAAGGACACAATGGGAATTTGATAGGCGCAAGTATGTAGTGATCTTTATATCAGTGTTACAAATAACAGAACAGCTCTTTGTATGCTTCTCCTGTTGCAGAGAAAGTCAAAGAACAAAATCCAAGCAGATGAATATGAAAAACATGCTGACGTTTCTGTCATCAAGCAGGATTTAGGGCAGGTTTACATTGTTTACTAAATAATAAAAAAATTATACAGGAGGTGAGGTCTGTGCAGGTGAGATGAAAATCCTTTCAAACTAATTAAGAGAGGAAAGGACGTCAAACTGACAAAAAGATGGCAACTCGAAGAGAAAAGGAGTCAGTTTTCACCAGTGATGTGAAAGTGATCTATTTATAGCAACTGGCTCCACTAATGCAGCCTGAAATTGCCAGCGAGAAGAAAGACAATAAAGGGAGAGAGAGAGACAAAGGGTGTTTACTTGGGCTAATATTTCCCCTTCTAACCTAATTTAAACTCACTGCATGTAAATATTGTATAATCAGCTGGGTTAAGCAACTTTACCATCTCAGAGAATTAAGATAGCTACCTACAGTATCTACATTTAATAAAACTGGTGACCTGATCATTATATGGGCTTTTGTAAATTGAGTCAGAGAAATTCCACTTGAATCCACATATTCCTTTGATCAATGATCATTAAGCTAACTACTCCTAGTTAATGCTTCCACACCTTCTTTGTCAACTAAGGATGACATTGGCAGGATTATTACTTACTACTGGGTAAAACTAAGCAAAATAACCTCTTTTCCCAACAGGAAATTAGCTAATGTGAACATAAGACAACCTCTTATGGATGAAATGAAACATAACAGTAATTCAGTTTAATTATTAAGCCCACATGCAGAGAGCGTTATGGGTAAACTTTTGATACAAAACATAATAACAACCTGAACTTTTACTTTTTGAATGACTGTTTCTTTTTTAGCATTAATCTATTATTTATTAGAAGCCCTTTCACACATTAAACTGACCACGTGGTTATGTTCATTTATTAGGACCAGGTAGTGCTATTTCTCTTTTATCATAGGTCATAGGTATTAGTTGGAATTAATTAGAGGATGCTGCTGAAATGTTAGTATTATGAGTTCTAACAGAATTTGTGTAAACACATGATGGATTTTACCCATCAAGTTTTCTAGTTGTATACTACTCAGGCTGTAAAAACAGTTATTTAACTCCAGAACTTTGTCAAGTAACTTGGCTTAGGTTAGAGACTACACAGTTTTTACCAAGAAACTTTGTAGCAAACTTGGGGAGTGGAGTCTGGAAGACATTTATGAGGACCAGGCATAGGAACACTACTGAGATGCAGTGTAGGAACCAGTGTTTTTGGAACTTTCCTGTACTAGGGAATAAAAGTCAGAATATCTCAGCCTTTATTTTGACCATTGTCTCTTGTATGTTCTCCAAGTTGAAATAATAAATCACTAGAGCATTTTAAAACAGTTGCCTGTTTACACATCCTGTTAGGATGATGCGTGGAAGGTAGGACCCAAAGATGCAGACAAGAGACTCACTGAAAGTGAAACAAGAGAGGTGTTTATTGTACTGGAGAGTGAGTTAACAGAGAGGGGACAGAGGCAGAGCAGGTTCTGGATGGGACAGGAGGGAATAGCAGCATGGAGCTGGGGATGAAGGCAGGAACCAGCTGCACCAGAGGACTGTGGCATAAGGGTGAGTGGAGACAGGGAAAGCAGGTGACAGCGCAGCAGGTAGGTTGGAGACAATAAGAAATACTGCTAGACAGAAGACCTTGCCAGCATTGCCGGCATCTCTGATACTCATGTGAGTAGACAGGAGAAGAGCTAGTGACAGCATAGCTGGCTGGTTGGCGAGATAACAGCAGGCACTGCTGGACAGGAAACCTCACCGGTGTCTTTGATACTCTCAGGTGAGTAGATGGAGAAGAGCAGGTGACAGCGTAGCTGGCAGGTTGGAGAAATAACAGCAGGCAGCTCGGCTTGCAAACTCGGAAAAGTTGTTCAGGATCTCAGGTTCAGGTGAAAAAAGTACATTTGGGAGAAAGGGACACCTTGATGACTACATAAAACAATCCTATTTGAAAACATTTTTGTGTGTGCCTTACCTTGGAGCTGTACAATATGTGTGCTGGTACTCGGAGCCCTGGGCTGGCAAACTGTAAAACAGGCACATGGCACCCACACGGACTCTGTGACATGTTGACATTAAGTGGTTCAAGGAAATAAGGAGATGAGAGATGAAAGAGGCAGAGTGGGAAAATATCAGAGAAGAGACAATGGAAACCGAGTAAATTTGATGTTCAGTATGGAATGTTTTTTACTTCCCTGCCCACAACAGAGATGGAAAGTGATGGTCTAAAAACATACAGCTCTGCTAACAGAATCTTAATCTGAGTCTGTGTGTCTCCAGCATCCTGCGGAGATCAGAGGTCATCAAGCTATATGCCCTGACCATGAACCTACAGAACTCACTGTTCGAAGCCACTGTCAAAAAATGCTGCAGTGGTGAAATTCAATCTTGACAATTGTGCCGTGTTGATGACTTTTGCTTTTATGGTAATGTAAAGCTAAATGAGGGAAATGTGAGACAGCACTTGGGAGCCTATTAATGAAACAGTGAGGGACTATATGTAAAAACATTTGTCTTTGGTAATGTTGCTAGATCATGAGGAGAATGACACGTAGTTTCATTCCAAGTGAGATAAACATTCAAAATATTAACAATTCTTACACATAGAAAGTTATTTCAGTCATTCAGTGTCAGTCTGTCCACCACTTTGATCCAGACTGTAATATGTCAAAAACAGGTTGGATTGTCAGGAAATTTTGTAAAGGCATTCACGATTCCCAGAAAATGGGGATCTCATTTGAGAATTCAACAACATAACCATTATTTTAAGTCAGACAGTAGGTTCAAAAATTACCTTAATTGTTGAAAAACTGTCTTCATCTAAAAGATGGGTTGGACCTGTTTTGGTTATTTAGTCATTTAAAAAATTCTTATACTTACATACATAAAACAAAAAACCCACTGCTGTCCCTTATATAAATCACTTGTCAATCTGTGTTTGATTTCCCAACAAACTTGTATACTAATCAAATGTCAGCTCCATCGTCTGTGCTTGTGAACAGGTACGTTTCTCCAGATAAACATATTTGTTTGGACTCCGCTGTCAGCTGTATCTGATTCTACTATTTAGGGTTTTCAACAGGAAACAGAATGTTTCACAGGATTCTGCTCCTTGCTTCATAAGAATGAAACCAAGCCAGAAAAACCTAGGAAGGAATTACCTTGAGTGGCAGCACATCTGAATTTAAGGTGTGTATGAGAATGTGAGTTGAGGAGGGAGGCAGGCAGCTACACTTATAGGGGTTTCCCAAAGCAATCCCTCTTTCTAAAAATAGCTACGGTTCTGCCAGCCTGAACAAGAGGAAAAAGAGCATCACTATCCATGGCATACTAAAGAGAGGGAGACAACGAGGGAGAGAGGCAAAGACCTTTCTCATTGGCAGCAATTAGACCTTGTTAATATACTGTGGAATGCAACTAATTAACTAAAGCTCGCACAGTGTTTGATGGTCATAAAATGCCCAAGAAGAAAAAATAATTAACACATGCAAAAGGCTTTTGCTCATAGGTGTATCTTAAATTGCATCATACGTTTCAAATGTCTGGCCCAAATGTTAGGAATCATGAGAAGAGAAGGCAAAGAGCAGGTTGGTGAGACAGTTAGTATAAGCTGCTGGATAGGGTGCTCATGTCTATGTTGTCAGGGGCAGGCAGAGTAAAAAAAAAAAAAGGAAAAGAAAGAAAGAAAATCATAATAAAAGGTGACTAAATACTCTACTAATCCAGCTGTGAATGAGAGCAACCTGCTGCAGCAGTTCTTTTATGCTCTGTCAATTCCACAGGGGGATAAACGCAATGCTGAGCCAGCACCCAGTGCAACCTCACCAACCCCACGGCACTGCAAGCACTGCAGATTACCTCATTTTATTTCTGTTAACCCATTTAAGCCGACTGGCAAACACAGCTGACACAGTGGGCGAAGGACTTTTGGATAACACACCTTACAGCAGCTGTACTGGAGGTCCACCATTCTTGATATACAGCTGTCTAACCCCAAAAAAAACTAGAAATGAAAGATTCCAGAAGAATAGCTCTGGGAAAAATGACAATTTCCCCCTTTTTTTCTATTGGTCTATATGGTTATCTTTTCTCAAACAGCTATTTAGCCACTACAATTATAAATCCAATTAATAAAATCCTCCTGATAAAATATAGTTTTCATGTAGCAGTGTATTCTTACACCTAAACAATACAGCAACTCAACAGAAAATAAAGGTTCAGCTTTAAGAAGTATGTGAATAACTTTTCCAGACAGTGATTGTGCTTCTAAATATAAAATGTTATTAAGGGCAAATCATCTTATTAGGTTTTTAAAAAGTCCTCTCTAAGAATTAAATAAAAATGGTGATGGAATAAATGTACAGCTTCTTCATATGACATAAAAGTACTGTGTATGTGTGTGTGTGTGTGTGTGTGTGTGTGTGTGTGTGTGTGTGTGAAGAATCAGCATGTTTATCTAAATGTGCCATGCCAGCATTCTTGTCAGGCCTGTTTCATACAGTATAAAGCATGCAATGGGTTACTGTCGAGTCATGTCCCTGCAGCATCAGTCTGTCAGCTTGTTGCCAGGACAATGCCGAGGGGGCAGAGCCTGTGTGAAGGTCTGAGGAGAAAGATGATGACAACACACAAAGGAAGGCAGATTACATAATAATAAACAAAACATGGTAGTTCCCTTCTCTTGCACTCTCTCCTTCACTTATTCTCTCCTTCCTTTTCTTTCCTTTACTATCCTCTGCTCCTCGCCTCATGTCCTTTTTGTCATTAATCACTGATCCTTTCACTCATTTCTCTTATATTTATCCTTTTTCCCTTTCCTCACTTCCTTTCTTCTTTTCTTCTCCCCCTTATTTCATTACCTCTCCCACCTCCTTTCCTTTTCCATGCTCCCCTTCCTTGTTTCTTCTGTGCTACTCATCTTCCTTTCCTTCTTTCCTTCATTTTGTTTCCTCCTCTGTTGCATCTTTCTTCCTTCCCTACCTTCCCCTTCAGTACTTCATTTACATTCCCCCTTTTCCTTCTCAAGACCCTCCCTACCTTGTTTTTGTCCTTGCATTTTCCCTCTCCATCTCACCTACCTTCCCTGTGCTTGTTCACTTCCTTCTACTTCCTTCCTTCCTTCCTTCCTTACACTTTATTTAATTCATTCACCCCTCCATATGTGCTTTCTTATTAAACCCCCCACCCCATATTGCTCTCTAGCCTTGCGGATAAGCCAGTCATCAGGATGATGTATCCTAGCAACAGTGACATCCCGCCCATTTGGCATTAGAATGGCCCAAATAACATTTTTGGATGAAGATGGAGAGACTGAGACTGAAGGCAGAGGACAGGACGGAGGAGGTGAGGAAGGGATATAGCCATCCGCTGATATGAGACAGTTTTTTGAAAATGGTAGTTTGTATCTAGTGTCAACAACACAGCATTACTAACTGTACTTAATGAATGGGAGCTTTATTCTAACTCTTTCTTGAGACCTTGACCTTGAGCCTATGTGTCCTTAAGCATTCATGATTCCAAAGCGAAATGTATAAGGCTAGCAAAGTCCTCTGAAGTTTAATGTCCAATGATGCATTTGATTTTCTGTGACTACAGATGGGAGGCCCTAAGACAGATCAGAACGATGTGACACATTTTCTTGGTAAGAAAGTTGTTCTCTCCAGAGGTGTGTAAGCAGTGTATAATGTACTTGATGTACTGTATATTATATTTATCCCCTAGAAACATACAGAAAAGCTATGCTGGTATATTGACAGAAACAGTGTTAGTTCCTGTCTCTTCCTGCTAGTGGTCTTTAAACAACTGTAATGAAAATTGCATAAATATACTGTAAAAAAAAGAATGTAATGGTACCCAGGGTGGATATTTGCTGTTATGACTGATTGAACCTACAACCACTGCAATTCTTAGCAAACATGACATCTTTAATTGGGAAAATCTTAAGATTTTAATTGGCAAAGTTGCCTGGCAATTCTTTTATTTTTTCTTTATTTTTTTTACAGACGTCTCATGACTGGGTTGTACTGCTTATGTGTTTAGTGTGTGATATCTTATTAAGACTAATTCTGCTGGTTGTTACCACTTAACCTTTGTTGCTTTGCATGGTTAATATTTACTAATGTGGTCAATAATGATGTTGCTCAGTGGTGTTCTGTGGCTTTATGCTGCTTTGCACTGCCGCATGAAATGAATAGTGAAAGTGGTCAATGCACTGTTGCTACTTCCTGTTGCTCTGCATGAATTGTGCAGAGTTTTCTTAGGTTGTATGCCTTTGAGTGCCACTTCAGGCACACTTAGAACATACTGCCAACTGAAGTTGAAAGCACTGGCACAAAAACAGAAAGGGTGATTAATGTGTGCTTTCATTTTAAATATAGAAATCAAATGAATCTTGATAGATGTGTTCTTTAATGACTAGAGAAAACTGCTGCAACTTGGCAGCAGAACTTGGCAATATGAATTTGGCATGTAACTAGACAAATGCATTTCCTGAAGAAAATGTGTGTGGATGCTGATTGCTGAAGAATTGCCCTGAAAATGCTGAAATTAGGGGTGGGCGGATCGATCCTTAAGTATCGATACATCGATTCTAGGCGTTGTATCGATAAGGATCGATCCTCACATAAAAATATCGATATTAAGGGTTTTTAAAATTTATTTAGCATGAAATATATTTAAAAC